TTCTAATTAAATAACTTATTATTTCTAAATTATTTTTTAAATTATACTTATTCAATTTTTATACATTATTTTTAAAATATAAAAATTATAATATTGTGTCCAACCCATGTCTGTGTCCGTGTCCTATATTTTCAATATTTGACGTGTCCCGTGTCTATGTAATGTTGTATTTGTGTCTTTGTGTCCGTGTCTGTGCATAATAGATAAAAGGCATTAAATGTTGATGATAGATGGATGTCATATATCAGTTGTTGGTAAGCTTCAAGCTACAATTGTGGGGAAATTGGATGTCAAAAGATGGACAATTTTGAAAAAGGAGGAGAAACCATCTAGTATAAATAGCGACGATTGGATATTGGTGGCTAATGGAGATTGGACTGACAATAATGGGTGTCAATGTTGATCAACTGTCGATGCAAGGTGATGTTGTGTGGGTAGTCGATGTCAGTAGCCAACAAGCATAAGTTAGCTGATGACAAACATCAATATTGTTCATCTTATCACGTTGGCCAATTGATGATGGTAGCATAGGTTGATTTAATTAGTGGCCAAAATTAAGTGACAATAAGCAAATCTTTGAAATGCACACTAAATCTCAAATTTTTAGCTACTGAAAATCCCATGGGAATTTGTGAAAACAAGGTGTTGATTACTTAATGTATTTTGGACATTCAAGTATCTTAATGAACTCAAAATTGAGTCATCTTAAACTCGTTGGATTCATTTAGTCAAGATGTACCTTTCAACTATAAGCATACAAATTTTGAAAATGTTTGGCCTCTCAAATGGCCACTAAAAGATTCAAATTATGCTTCATACAGCTTGATTTAAGCTCATTTGAACTTGAATCCAGTGATCTTAGTATAATTGAATGATCTCGAAATTAATTTTAAAAGTTCCAGGTCCAAATACTCATTTGTTTTGAGATCCAAAAATTATGTCAAAAATGTATACTTAATCAAATGAATTTTCTAGTGGATTTGAATCAAGTAGAAAACCAATTCAAAGACAGCCATTAAAACTAAGCAACCAACGTCATCTAATTTAAGAATATAAAATAATAACTGAATTGGACCTGTGAACAATACAACCCACTAGAAGTAATTTAATTCAACAAATCAGTTACAAAAGAATAATTGCAAAAGTAATGGCAATATCGAACTTAATTAACCAAACAACCAATTGAAAAACATAGCTATGAAAGCTAACAGACTAACAACATCTAATTTAAGAAAATAAATTGAAAACTGATTTGGACCTGTGAAGAATAAAAATCACTAGATGTAATTTAATTCAAGAAGAACCGTTGCAAAAGAGTAATTGCAAACATAATGGCAATACTCCACTTAATTAATCAAAGAACCCTGAAATGTAAAAGAAGCTTGATAAGAAAGCTATTTGTAATTTATGCCCAAAAACCTTTTACAAGTTCTAAATAAAATACCAAACATAAAGCATGCAAGTCCGATCAAGTAAAACGAAAGGAGGCACTCCTCTAACACATGATACTATAGCATTAAAAAAAACATCACTATATACACACCCTTAACATAGCAGTTAGAAATTTTCAAAGCGAACAAATTTGAAACTGAGCAGGCTCTCAAATACAACAAGCAGCAGAATACCTTTAGAGGTCGGCAGTTGCTTGCCTTCCTTCTCATAGTACTCCCTGATCGACACCAGCGTCTTACCTCTGAAATCCTGAACCGTAACCCTCCTCTTATTCGACAACTGCAAGAAAGATAAACCCTCAAAACGCGCAGATGTAAACAAAGCCATAGGATTTAGTACGCGATCACAAGTCACTGACTCTGCACACAATGAGATCGCCTTCTTCATCATACTCCCTCGGCCCGCGTCTCTTTCTGTGGTCGTCCTCCTCTTCTTCTGCCTCATCCTCCTCCTCCGCCGCCGCAACCTCCACTTTCTGATGCTCTTCTTCCGGGGCGTCGGCGGCCTCGGAGGCAACTGCGTCGTCCTCCTTGTGGGATGCGAGGAAGGACTCGACTACGTTCCGGACAAAGCGCTTGCGGTCGGGGCTTGAGAGGTCGATTCCAAGCCGATCTGCTGCGAAAGTGCGAACCTTGTACTCGGTCATCTCCTCCATATTAGCATTCCTGAGAATGTCAAGCACTGCCTCTTCGATCGACCGCTGCGTCGCCGAATCCATACCCTTTTTTAGCTTTGAGGGCAAAAAAAGAGTGGAAAATAGAGATCAAATAAAAAAGATTCGACCAGTTAAACAGTTGCCGTATTTCAGCACAGAGAATAAAGTGGAAAATAGACGAAAAATCTATTAGTTTTGCTATTTTTATGGTCAAAAAAAAATTTGTTGTTTTTTTTTAAGATACTGAAGCAATATTATTAAAATGAAAAGAAATTTCAAACTAAGAAAATGATCACTTTACTCTTTAAGCAAACTAATAAAAAAATGAGGAATAGAATCCCAACTACAGTTATTCCAAACAAAATTATTATAATGAGCAATATTAGCACACATATTAGCTGACTCATTACAATTCCTACTCACTCTACTAAAATTAACGTTCTTGAATTCCTTGGGGAAATCAATCTCTTCCATCCCATTTGTAATCAACCTCTTGGTCGGGTCCCTATTAAGCTTCTGAAGGAAATTAATAACATTTGCATTATCACCTTCAATAATAACTCCTTCATAATCCAACATCCAATCTTGTAGAATGACCTTTAATGCATGAATAGCCAATAACTCTAATCAAGCAACATCCCAATGCAATCCCTTGAAACTGAAAGCCAAAAGAAATCTTCCTTTAAAGTCTCTGAATACTCCACCTATAGTAGCTTCATATGAAAGAAACAAAGAAGCATCCATGTTTACTTTAAGCCAACCGGGTGGGGGGTGCCAACTTTGAAGCAACAGCCTATTATGATGATTAGCATCCCAGTAGCCCGATTTAAGAGCCCCTTTATCAACAAAAGAAGCAAGAGAAATAGTTTGAGCAGCTATATACAAACAAGAGTCTTCCTTTTCTCCATGAACAAGTTTACACTTCAATTTCTAATTTAGGAAACCAAAGTGCAATAGAGTTTTACAAGAAAAGAATTCTTAGAAGCATTTATTTTCATCCACATATAACAATCCTTTAAAGAAGCAAATACTGGTATCAAGAAACCCCAACTATTAATAGTTTGGATTACCTGAATCAATTTGGAGCAACTTACTGCCACATGGTTTATGTTTTTCATCTCTAAACAACCCATAAGACAAGCATCATTCGTTCTTAATCTTCTTTTCAACAAAAAACTAAATGTTGGGATTGCTTCATGAAACATTTTCCACTAGAAATTTTCCACCTGTGGCATAAGTTTGAGTTTTCGAAGCTAACTCCAATAGATATCTCTTTCCATTAGATCATCTGAAGCCGCAACTTCTGAAACAATGGCAGATAGAGTTTTCCCTATTTGAAAATGAATCAACTCCAACGTATCCTCAGTAGATCAGAACAATTTTGAACTTGAGAAATGATATTTACCAATTCATCTCCAAAACAAGTCTTCAATTCTTCTAAATTCCAGCTTCTATGAATAAATGAATTTGTCAAGTTCCGTGTCATCCATCAAATTGACCGAAACAAATGTTGGCCACATAATAAAGTACTTATCCATCAACCAAACATCCTTGAGCACATTGATAGATTTCCCATCCTTAACCTTCCATTTAACAACCGGAGCAATAGCCTTACATCCTTTTAATAAAATCTTCCAAACTGAAGAAACACCTTTCTTAGTTTGGGTATTCCAATTACACATCCCATACTTAGCAACCAAAATATGATATAATAAAGAAGAAGAACCACTAAGAAGTTTCCAAGGAAATTTAGCTCTTGAGGGGCCAACCTTATTGACGCAAGAGTGAAGGTCACGACCTCCCAATTTACTAGGCAAACAAAGAACATCCCATCTCACATAATGGATTCCCAAATTACTACATGTTTATTCCCTATGAATCCCTGCACATTCTGTCCAACTTTGAAAGTATGCTCAAAGGAATAAGAGAGTGAGTACTTTGAAAGGGAGGAAGAGATTAAATAACAGATTTTACTAAAGTCATCTTTCCTAGCAATGAAATATATTTGTTGCTCCAAGTTTGAATTTTACCCAATGTCTTTGAAGAAGAAAACTAAAATCATCAACTCCAAGCCTCTTCATTGCAATCTTCACTCCCAAATACATCATCTCCTTAACCACTCTTAAACCCATTAACCAGGATATCACTTTTTTCTTCCTCTTCTTCACCGAATTTCCAAATGGAACTACAAATTTATCAAAGTTTATGTTTTGCCCTGTCCAACTGCAATACTCTAATAATATGTTCTTGACCTTTTTAACCGTCTTTAGAGGCATCTGAAAAGATTACAATGTCATCAGCATAGAGTAAATGAGAGATATTAGGAACATTTGGATGAATTTTGATACCAATCTCATTTCCTTTAAGAGTCAAAGCATTTGAAAGAAACTAAGAGCAAAGAATAAAAAGAAAGGGGATAAAGGGCAACCTTGCTGAAATCCACAAAGAGCCTTGATCCAATTTTAATATGCCCCATTAACCAATATAAAAAAAAAAAAGAAGGGAACTCCACACATTCCATAATCAAATTAGAAAACTTAACTGGAAAACCAAAATAATGAAGAATGTTTTTCAAAGTTGCCCACCCCTACTGTCATAGGCCTGCTCCATATCAATCTTAAAAGAAACCAATCCGCTTTTTTATTTAGAAAATCTAAATTTTTGGAAGATCTCTTGAGCCAATAACACATGATCCGACATAGAACGACCATTTAAAAAAGCTTCTTGTTATAGTGAAATTAATTTAAGAATCACCTTTAGCATTCTATTCAAGAGAATTTTTGTTACAATCTTGTAAATAGATTTGCATAAGCTTATAGGTCTAAAATTGGAGGTGATTAGAGGATCTTCTACCTTTGGAATTAGCACCACTAAGGTCTCTTTCCACTTTACATCCATATTTCTAGATGAGAAAAAATGATAAATAGCATTCCACATATCATTTTTAATAATATTCTAATAAATCTTAATGAAAGAATAAGAGATTCCATCATTACCTGGTGATTTAAAACCACCAAGCTGGTTAAGCACTCCCAAAACTTCCTCCCAAGAGATTTCTGCCTCCAAAAAGGTTCTATCTTCATCATTCAACTTATTTAAAGGTGGTGGCCAGCCACTTAATGTACACTCCCTATGCCTTCATTTGTTGCTAAAGTAGTCTAGAAATACTTCTTCAATTTGTTTTGGATCTTCTACCATATTTCCCAACCCATCTTTAATCTTATAGACCCAATTAGAATTCCTCCTAGCACTTGCAAAAGAGTGGAAAATTTTGGAATTTATATCACCTTATGCTAGCCATCTCATCTTAGAACGTCGTCTCTACCAAGTATTCAATCTAACTAAGTTACAATTGAGTTCCTCCACCTTAGCTCTAAGATTAACCATCTTCTTTGCCGAAAGATGACCTTCATTAGCCTCCTCTAACTGCAACTAAATGATTTCATCTTTGTGACGATCTTTCAATGAATTAAGATCTAGGAGTTTATCCTTAATCCAGAAAAATGAAGCTCTCAATGTCATTCTAGATTTAATGTTAAGGACTTCTAAAAGGCTACCAACAGCTTTCTTAGACCAAGCTTTGGCCACCACAGTATAAGAGGTATGGTATGAAGTCCAAGAATCTTCAAATCTGGTGATCTTCTTCACTTTGAAGTTATTTTTCAATTAGTTAACCAAAATTGGGCAATGGTTAGAAGCCACCCTAGCAAGATGTTTGACCACCAACCACTGAGAGACTTCAATTGCTTTAGAGTTAAGAAAGCATCTATCTATCCTCTCCATGATTCGAGCCCCATTTGTCTTATTATTACACCAAGTGAACCTAGGCCCTATAAAGCCAACATCATGATAGTCGTTATTGATAAGAAAAAAATACATCTCCTTTGGACCTTTGGAAAAAAATAGAATCTCCTCCCACCCGTTTTATCTCCACTCTCCATCAAACAGTTGAAGTCTCCACCCACTACTGAAGAGAAGTCCTTGGAGGAATACTTTTCTACTTTCCTCCACAATTCTCTTCTTTTATCAATGTCATTACACCCATACACATTAGAGATATGCTAAACACCCTTGTTATGAACATCAAGATTCCCAATAATGCCTTGAAAAAAAGAATCCAAGACATTGAAAGAAGACACCTTGGAATTCCATAAAATAAGAATTCCTCCTGATAATCCATCAGTTGAAACATAAAAAAGGTCCCAATCAACTCCAACAAGCTTATCTACTCCCTTCCTATCTGTGGAAGAAAGCTTAGTTTCCACAACCCAAAAAAAAAAAAAAATCAAACTCCTTCAAAAACTCCTTTAGATATAGATAAGCCTGATTTAGATAAAGAAAAACACTTGCTGTGTAAAAGGAATTTGATCTAAAAAGGATAATTTTAAAGTTATTTGTATTAATGTTAAATAAATGAAGCTAAATAGTCTTTTTTGTTCACTTGGAAATAATAAATGTAGAGTAGAATTTTAAATTGAGGCAACGTTGGTCGGCAGCTGCAGGTGGTGACCAGCGGTAGCAGGTGGCTGGAGGCTGCGGGAAGGGGTGGGGGGGGGTGCCTACAGGGTGGGGTGTACCTACATGCAAGTGACTGACAGCAATAATGGAGGTTGTCGATAATAGCGCTCAAACAAGGAGCGAGCGGTATAAAAGAGTTTTAGGCCTAAATTGGGGGAGAGCATTTTACTTCAAAATTAAACTAGAATGAAATACACATCATTTATTATATTTTACTTTTGATTTGCTTTTCACCGAATCAGATGCCAAAAAGTTAAAAAGCAAATCATAGTAAATGCTTTGTATTCACTTTTACTCCAACCTAACATCTCCTAAATTGTTTCATCATAATGGTGAAAATAGTTAGGGGTTTGTAAAGAGGTTGCCTGTAGGTGGCAGATAGCTGTAATAGAAGTTGTCGGTAGTGGAGCTCAAATAAGGAGCAAGCGGTTTAAAGTATTCTCGCCGGAAATTGGTGGATAGTGCTTTACCTCAAAATTGAACTAAAATGAAATACTCTGTATTTACTATTTTTTACATTGAATTTAGATTTAACCAAATCAAACACCAAAAAGTGAAAAAGCAAGACATAGTAAATGCTTTGTATTCACTTTTACTCCAACAAAATTACTCCTAAATTAAATTT